TCGTCTTGATCAGAGTAGAGATAGAGGTGACTGCAGACATTGTTTGGACACGACATTCTGCCTTATTGGACACGACATTCAGACTGGACTTACACGCTACATTGGGATTGAACTGTGCACGACATTCGGAGATCAGAYTTGGGTTGGACTTGGTTACCTCCTATGTCCCTCCCCCCCTTCTCTCTCGCATGTCTATGGATCTCTCCCTATGTGTGTGAGCGGAAGGGCAATCTTTCTAATGTCCTGCCCTTCCAAAGTTTCTCCCTTTCCTGTTGTTGTCCACGTGTCCTCTTGGTTACTATTATTCCGCTGCGCTGTTCCCCAGCCCATGATGATGATGATGCAAATGTGTTGTTGTTGTTTTTCTCGTTGGTTTACTTGTTGCATTGTGCACATTGGCATCTGGTGAATGTTGCATCTATGCTGCTGGTTGTTGCCACTTTCATCATTGCTAGATCCTAGGCTGTTAGTGCATTTCACTTTCTGATATGCTACAGGGTCACATCGAAATTCTTACCAAATTTAAAATAAAAAATAATGTTAAAAACTTCAAAAACAATTTTTACTTTTTTATTTATTTTTGTTTTTTTTTGGCCCGGCCGGGCAACTTGCCCCGGCCACTCTGGTAGCCTAGCCATTTGGTCCATTTCTCGATTCATGCGTGTCATCCTTGCACAAAGGCCATGCTAATCTTCTCTGCATCGTTCCAATTTTTAAATTTTAGTGGATGTCCCGAAGGATGATACCTTCCCAAATCACACCGCAATACAAAACCCCAAGACAACTCGGCAGTAGCATGTGACTAGAGCGACTAGAAGTCGTTCGTGTACCTGAGAGATGCACATCTCACAAAAAGTGTGGCTGCAATCAAGCTCCATGGGCTCCGTAAAGTACTCTGCGACAGATGGCCAGCAAAACCACAAATTTATGTCAGAATCTGGCCCACCATCCGGCATGGCCAACAAGCAAGGGGGACGGGGACTGCAATAAAAGTCAAAATCTAAACTAAGCAAATAAGATACCACACCGATTCAACCAACCAAACGTACTCGGCATGTGAGATATGTATCTGGACGGAAACCCTGATACTTCACATTGTATGATTGTAGGCAGCTGTTGCCATCACGCAAAAGGCATATTCACACTAGCATTATTTTGCATTGTATGGAGCTGGTGCCGTCAAACAAAGAGCATTCTCACACTAGAACTCCCCAAAATGCATCTGACTGCAATCATGGCTAGACTACAATGAATCTGACTGCAATACCGTCCGGGGCTTGGTCGAGAATGTCCTAGCGTATATACTGATTAGAAATGGCAATGCGCTGCCCAGAAAGGACTTTTCATGCCTCACTGGCTCCCGACGCATGTGGGTCGGACCTTGGTCCACCTCGATAACCCCCCCGCCGCCCCCTTCTTTCTTCGTCTGAATTCTCATTTATTCCTACACTGTTCTGCTTGCCGGTAAGAAGTAACCGGACTGACGCCCCCCAGAAACAAAAAAAACCAAAAAAAAAACAAGAAACGGCATCTTGTAATGAACCCAGTCTGAAAGATACTCGTCAAGTGTTGAAGTACAAGAAATCTCATCGCTGAATAATGTCTCCAATAATCGTGAATGTGATCTGTAATGCCATGTCTCGTAGCCCATGAACGAAGAGAGGAGAGGGAGAATAGACAGATTAGAGGGTGGAAGAGATATCCATCAATGACCACAGAGATAGCAACCCGACAATACCCTCTCCTTCTCCGGGCTTCCCCCTCGCCTCCATGCCAGCAAACAGTGTCCAGCACCGAGCCTGACAGGGCACGATAACATCAGAGTGCCATGTGGCACAGTTCCCCCGTGAAGATGTTCAGCCGCGCACAGTATCGACATCAACAGCAGGTAAGTATCCCATTCTCTCTCAATCATCCACATATCCCGATCTCCCTCCTTGTAGCGTCCAACTCAGCAGTGAAGACAGTGTGGCCAAAGCCAGATCAGCTATGGTGACAGAGTGGCATGCGCCACATCAGCAATGTCGAAGACAGCGTGGCCTTGCACCACGTCAGCAGAGGCTGGCACCGCAGAAAGGCGCCAGCATGCAGCAGCAGTCTTGCGTCGTCGTCCAGCCAGCGTCCATCCAGCGTCAAGCCGGCGTCCAGCCAGCGTCAAGCCGGCGTCCTGCTAGCGTCAGCATAGCAAGACTGAATGTTGACTCCCTGGAGGCAGGGTCTTATGTAGCATTGGACAGAGTTGACCTGCCACAGGTCTCCCACCCACGGTGGCTCAGATTGACTCGCAGCCGACGGCCTGGATTCCAAACAGTTGCAGACTTCCACTTGGCCTGCCTGCTGTCTTGGTACCTGCATACAAACAAGTGTGTGTGTCTGACCGACGGCCTGGACTGGGTCAACAGTGATTTTACTGAGGGCCGTGTACAGTTGACTTTTAGTCAACTGCCTGGCGCAGGGCCCTTGATTCCAAATTCTGGGGTGCTACCTCTTTGCTTTGCAGCCTGGAGCCGACGTCGGGCCTGGGGCCCCTAGACAGGTTACAAGGCACAGCAAGCGGGTTGTTGCATTCCTGCCGGTCCAATTTCCGAGTTCCATCACAGAAACATATTAGCTTTGTTTTAACCCACGTTCATATGCAGCAATGATGTCAGCAGCAGTAGGTAGGAGTTCTTTCTTACTGAACCATCTAGCTTCAGATGGAGGTTGAGACTTGAACTTTACCTTATACTGCTTATGCGGTCTTCCTCTGCCACCTGTAGAGAAGTAGCCATGTTCCAAAATCTTTTCAACTTGATAACCTCCATTCATGGAGGGTGAGAACATAGATGGTCTGTTAGGAAACTCAGTTCCCCCTACATAGGGCAACATTTTAGACGCGTGAAAGTCAGGATAGGCCTTGACGTGCGGGGGTACGTCAATTCTGTAGGAGGGTCCATCTGCATCCCCAATCACCTTGAGAACTTCCTAGGGTCCGTAATAGACAGGACGCAGTTTCTGAGACACATTCTCTTCCAAGGAAAATTCTTTAGACTTTACCCATACAAAATCACCTTCTTGAAATTGCGATGGCCGATGATGCTTGAATTCACGAGTTCCTGGAGGGTAGCCTTTGAATCTGGTCCCGGGTTAAAGCATCAATGGGATGCTTAGGCTTCCAACCTTTGTGTAGTGCATTTGGTGTTATTCCTGTAACAGTATGTACACTGTTGTTATATGCACTAGCAATCTTAGGTAAGTTCTCATCCCAATCTACTTGATCGGGTCGTACATACATGCGCAGAAGTTGGCACAAACGATTCATTTGTTCAGTTTGGCCATTCGTTTCAGGGTGTCTACCTGACGACATGGTCAATCTAGTGCCATAGGCTTCCATCAACTTTTGCCATTGAAGTCCAGTGAACCGGACATCCCTATCAGAGACAATGGTCTTTGGGAACTCATATTCTGAGACCCATCGCATCTGGAACTTTTGGATGTAGTTCAATCTTAGCTTCAACTGTAAAGGAATGAACATAGCATATTTTGAGAATCGAACTACAATGACCATTACCTGGCTGTTGCCGTTTCGGCTCTTAGTGAGACTCGTGAAGTCAATGGAGATAAGCCTGACCAGACTCACTTTGAATAGGTAGCGGTCTCAATAGTCCCAGGTGACTCTCATGCAACGGCTTATTCCTTTGGCAAACAAGACAAGTTCGCACATAAGTTGGCACATCTTCCTTCATTTCCTTTCCATTCAAAGTGTTCCCTTACATCCGCAAAGGTCTTCTTAAAACCAAAGTGTCCCTCAGCATAGTGGCATTCCCCAATAATCATGCTCTTAATTGGTTCCTTATGTGGAATGCACAATCTTTCTTCGATCTTATCAATAAAGAAAAGTAGACCATCAGTCATTCAATATTCACGGAAGAGTTCTGGGTTTCTTTGCAGGGTCCCAATAATAGAACTCCATATCGGGTCATCAGCATAACCCTTACGAATCTGATCTTTCATTTCATTTCCAATATGGAGGTAGGAGACAATTGTTCCAAAGAAATCTGCACGCCTGGACAAAGCATCCGCAACCACATTAGACTTTCCTTTAATTGTTTTCGGTTCGAAGTCAAATGTGTCTATGAAAGCGGACCATCTAACTAGCTTGTCAGAGAGTCAAGGTTGGGTTTTAATCCACTTCAGAGTGGAGTGGTCTGAATAGACAGTGAAGTGCCTCCCTAGCAAGTAGTGTTTCCATGTGTGCAATGCAGCAACCAAAGCATACAATTCCCTTTCGTAAGTGGAATTGCCCACTTTCTTAGACGAAAGTCTTCTGGACATAAACTCGAGAGGTCTATATCCCTTACCGTCGCCTTGTTGTAGCACAACCCCAATTCCATACCGACTTGCGTCAGTGGTGACAATGAAAGGGAGAGAAGAATCAACAATCTTTAAGACAAGGTAGTGAGTCAGTCCATGTTTCAACTTTTTGAACGAAGACTCACGATCTTTGTCCCATAACCAAGGTTTTTCCTTCTTCATAAGTCTTCTAATAGGTGCAACTATCAATGAGAAGTTCCTTACGAACTTCCTATAGTAACTAGCAAGTCCTAAAAAAGATATAAGTTCAATAACAGTTTTGGGTTGGGGCCAATCTCAAATTTATTTTTCTCTTCGGGCCTTAGTCCCTTTTCGTTTAGTATAGGCTTTAAGTATAACACTTCAGGCCTAGCAAACTCCGACTTCTTAGGATTCGGTTTGAAGTCGCCTTCGTGCAACTTCTACAGAACCATTCGTAGGTGCTTCTCGTGATCCTCCAGTGTCTTATTGTACACGAGGATATCGTTGAGAAAAACAAGTACGAACTAATCCACCAATCGACGAAACAATTCATTCATAGACCTTTGGAAGGTAGCAAGAGCATTAGTCAATCCGAAAGGCATCACCACGAAGCCGTAGTGACCATACCTGGTTCGGAAGGCTGTCTTGTGTTGATCCTCAGGAGCCACCTCGATCCGGTGGTACCCTGACTTGAGATCAATCTTACTAAAGTACTTGCATCCTTGCAATTGGTCCAACAAGTCGTCAGTGTGTGAAAGTGTTTCCATGTTTTTTACGGTGATGGCATTCAACCCACGGTAATCAATACATAGTTCACCTTCCTTTTTGGGCACGAATAAGACAGGAGCACCATAAGGAGATGAGCTGGAGCGAATCCATCCTTTTTCAATTAGTTCTTGCAGTTTTTTCTTGAGTTCCTAAAGTTCCCTAAAGACATACGATAGATGGGACCCTTGGGAATCTTACTACCGAGAATAATCTCAATTGTGTGCTTAATAGTACACTCAGTGATTCCCGTTGGCTCAGTCTGCAAGTCCTTATATTCATGAAGTAGTTTTTCAATAGGAGGAGGATAGGATGAGGAGCATTCACCTACTCGATTGGCGAGCACCATCATCACATCCTGATCCAACTTCTTTTTCGAGATCATCGATCTAAAGGCTGGATAACTCATACAACAAAAAAACAATGACGAGTCGGAGCCAGACTTGAGATCTAGGCTCCGGGGCGGCCCGCCTGGCCGAACGTCCCGGGTCCGGGTGGGCCGCCCGAAGATGCATGGGTAGTCCAGGCAACTAATTTTGAAACCTTTTTTTTTTTTTTTTTTTTTGGAGGCTGATCGTTATTACGCTTCTCAAGAACTATCCAAACCCGTTGTTTTTATTGTTTTTGGTGTTCGACCTTTTGGAAGGGGGGTGGGTGGGTTCCTCCTCTCCCTCCTCCTCCTCCATTCTTCATTGTCGTCCTCCTCCTTTCTTTCTCCTCCTCCGCCATTCTTCATTCTCATCCTCCTCCTCCTTCTTCATTGTCCTCCTCCTGTGATTGGCCACTGGAAGGGGGGTGGGTTCCTCCTCTCCCTCC